CAGTAATAAGTGCCCACTGGGGAAAAATAAGTTTACAGAGAAAGGAAGAGGCAGAGGATGGGGAGTGGACACAGGAGAGGGGGAAGAGGTAGATGACCAACATCAGTGCACACTGCTAGGAAGGGGGGGAGAGGTAGATGACCAATATCAGTGCACACTGCTAGGAAGGGGGCGGGAGAGGTAGATGACCAATATCAGTGCACACTGCTAGGAAGGGGGCGGGAGAAGTAGATGACCAACATCAGTGCACACTGCTAGGAAGGGGGGGGAGGTAGATGACCAACATCAGTGAACACTGCTAGGAAGGGGGGGGGAGGTAGATGACCAACATCAGTGCACACCACTAGCATTTTAGCACACATTTATTTATGTTTTGTTTTGTTTGAGGCAGGATCTCATATAGCCCAGGCTGGCCTTACTATGAAGAAGGAACAACCTTGAACCATTGAGATTCCTACCCCTATCTCCCAAATGCCTTTACAGGCATGAATCACCACTGTCATTTTTTGCGATGCTGGGGATTGAACCCAGGGCTTCAGGCATGCGAGACAAGGACTCTACCAACTGAGCTATATCCCCCAGCCCAAGTACGTGTTAATGTTTAGTGCACAAATTACAGATAAGAGTTGACAAACTGAGACCCTCTGGAAAAGACTAGCCATCTACCTGTGTTTTAAATAAAACTTTATTAGAATAGAGCTAGACTAGGTCTGTTTCCATATTGCCTACTGTGTAACAGTGGTGTAGTGGGATGGTTAGGTCCAAGGCCCATGGCCTAAAATATTGATTATTTGTTATCCAGCCCCTTTCAGTCTCTTTATTCTTCCTTCAGAACATCAACATCTTCACATTTAAAGAACCTTGGGAAGGATGCTGGGGAGTTAGATGACCGATCACTGATAAGTTCTAGAATGTCTCAGCCCCAGAGCAGATGATGAGGGATGTAATGTCTGTTTACTCAGAAGTCTGACCACTGTCTGGCTCCATGTGAAGCACAGAGGGCTCCTTCACTAGCCTCCCCACTGCCACAGAAGACAAGGCTCAGTGTGAAACATCTGCTATAAGACAAAACCTCCCCACCACTGCCGCAGGAGACAGGGCTCAGTGTGAAACAGCTGGTGTCAGACAAGGCTCTCAGACCGCAACTTCAGAGGAGAAAAGATGTCAGGGCTGGCATCATGCAGAGCCTTTCCCTCCAGACAGGGTTACCAAGGGCACCTGGGTTCAAGGTGTCATGTCTGCATTGAGTGAGGCCGGCGGAGGGTACAGGTGTTTGGGTTTATAAATACAGCTGGTAGATAATATCAGTAATGTTGTTAGGCTTGTGTCGTTATGAAATGAAGTCTCTCTCAGTAGCCCAGGCTGGTCTGAAACTCACTACATAGTCTAAACTGGCCTCAGACTCCCAGGGACCCTCCCACTGTGTCCTGTGACACAGAGGCATGGTTTGTTCAGTGTACCTCAAAGCAGTGGTTTTTGCCTTTGGGGGAACTGACGTGCAAACCTTTGCAGTCTGGCCACTCTTGAGTTAGCTGCATGTGCGTGGGTGATTCTCACCCAGGTTCCTTCTCAGAGCTGGAGTCTGCACAAAGGCATCTGACTTCACTCCATTATAAGCATTGGGAAGTCAGGCATGTCACTTACCTACCCAACATTGAGTCCCCACATTCTAGAACAAAGCCTCATGCATCTGTGTTGATTGAACAAACACTGTGTTTTGCAAGTCCAGTTAACCTTCCCAGAGAGTACTGAGTCTCTTGCTCCTGGGGAGAAACAAACAGAGACCAGTTGATAGAATTGAGTATTTACAGTAAGAACCTGGGTGGCTGACTTCAAACACCTTTCAAAACCCTTGAAGGACCATGACCCAGAGCATATTTTGGAAAGGGAAAAAGAAACACCCAATGGAAGGAACTTGGGTGGCCAGCCCATCCCTTCACTCGATGGCTGGGCTTCCCTCGCTCTACCTCCAACATATGCTACACAGATTGTACCTCCAGTGTGTAGCCGAGGGAAGAAGCGCTCATCGGGACCTTGCTCAGATGCTGTAAACGATGCTTCTGCCCCGGGTTAGCTACTTGTCTCATTGACGTATGAAACATCTGGCTAAAGCAACGTAAGGAAGAACGGGTTTATTTTGTTCCCTGTCCAGTGTGCAGCCCCTCAACACCAGGAAGGCAGGACGGCTGGAGCTGCAGGCAGCTGTTTGCTGTGCATCTGCAGTCAGGAAGCAGCTGGCCACACGGCATCCACAGTCAGGAAGCAGAGAGAGATGAATGCTGGTGCTCAGCTCACCTTCTCCTCTTGCTTCAGCCCAGGACCCCAGCCTGTGGGATGCTGCCACACATGATCAAAAGTGTCTTCCAACCTCAGTTAATTAGTCTAGATAATCCCTCACACAGACACATTCAGAGGTTTGTCTCCTAGGTGACTCTAGGATCTGCCCAGCTGGCAACGTTAACCATGACCAATGAGAACCTCAAAGATATCACCTCCTACCATATCCTTTGCATGAGGAAAGTATCTCTGTCCTTCTCTTCTGGAAGGATGGTAGGGGCAGGAGAAAGGTCTGCACTGACATGGGAGCAGATGTTTAAGAAGGAAAGGGACAATGGCCCCTGGTTCCCCTTTTAGATCTGCCTCCTCTTCCCTGGGAGCAGTATGGAAGAAGCTTTGATTACTTCTCTCCAGCAGCATGAAAAAGGGAAATCACTTCCCAGCCTTGCTTATCTTTCAGCCAAAATCTTAGCTGCAAAGTGAAATTCTGAAACTAGGGTCTTATTAAACACAACTCTTCCATTAAGCCCAGATGTTGACCCACTTTGTCATGTAAAAGAACTTACAATTAGCATGGGAGTCTAAATAGGACATTCATGGATTGAGATCTTAATTCCTGAATTCCTGTAATATTTTCAACAACTGAAAAAAAAACTTATTTCAGCGAGCATTAGGTTTGGAAAGTGGGTTCTGTGGAGGAT